CACCCACCCACCCATCCACCCACCCATCTATCCACCCACCTATCCATCTACCTACCCAGGGTAGATGGGGATGTGGCCTGCACTGACCAAAGGAGCTGCACAGGCTGAGCAGCCACAGGGACACCCCAGAGGGGAGGCCGGGGGAATGGGTGGGGAGGGAAGTGACACTGACTGTCCTCTCCTGGTATGGCCCTCAGGCGAGCAAGGCCTCCCAGGGTTCTTGGCCTCAGGTAAATGCTGAGCCGCCACCCAACCCAGCTGTGACCAGAGCCTCTCTCTGCCCTGGCTGACTGCACTGTGTGTGTTTCTGGCTTCTAGATGCTGGCTCTCTTGGATTCAACCTGCAGGGCCCACCAGGCCCACCTGGTCCACAGGGACCCAAAGGTGACAAAGGTCAGTGACAGAGCAGCCTGACCCTGAGTCGCCTTCAGTGAAAGGTCTGAGGGCTGCAGTGCTCAGGGCTTGGGGGAAAGAAAAGGCAGAAGACAGGAAGCGGCTGGGACAGCACGAGAGACAGTCTCACCCAAGGGGAGCCTGCGACATCATTGCAGGCGCAAGGCCAGGAGATGTCAAGTGTGCTGGACTTCAGCAGGGAGGGCTTCGTGGAAGGGGGGACGCAAACAGGGCTTCTGTGTTGGCTTGCAGGTGATCCTGGTGCTCCTGGCGGTCCCTCCCGAGGTAAACGCCCCCCCACACACACTCCTTCGAGAGGCTGAGCCTTGCGCCAAGTCATCGCCGCATGGCTGAGTGGCTCAGCATCCATTACACCCACCCTCGGCTGTGTCCATGAGCTGCCAGGAAGGGCAGGGGACGGGCTGGGGGTCGGGACCCGCATGCACCTGAAGGTGACTGGCAGTCTGTGTGGTAACTGTCACCAACATACGAGGGCCTGAGCCACGGGTGACAGGAAGAGAGACACTGGGGTGTCGAGCAGGCTGCTGAAGGCAAAATGGGGGCTCGGCCCGGGTGCCCCCAGCTTTACGCCTGCCGCAGATGTGGCCTTCCTCTCGCGTGGTTCTTTTTCTCCTTCTGAGCAAGCCTTCCTTCCTAGCCGGGGAGGCACTGCCTGGGTCGGCATTTGGGCAGAGAAATGCAGCCAGGCCGCCTTCTCTTTCTGCAGGGGGCTCGCCAAGCACCACATACACAGCAGGCCCACCTGGCCCGCCCGGGCCCCCCGGGCCTCCAGGCTCCCTCAGAACCTCCGGCCTGGAGATCCAGCAGTACATCTCTGAGTACATGCAGAGTAAGTGGCTGCTCACCACGCCTTGGGATTGGCATGGAACAGTGTGTGTGTGTGTGTGTGTGTGTGTGTGTGTGTGTGTGCGTGTGCATGCAACACACGTGCTGGGGAGCAGCCTCCAGCCCCTGGAGCCTGGCCTGCAGTCAGTGACGTGCCAGCGTGCAGGAGCATGCACGCAAGCTCGCCTCCCCCGACACACGGAGCACATGCGTACTCGAGCACACTCTCCATCCCTCTGCGTGGGTCATTGGTCAAGTGTGTGGCTGACTGGTGTCTGGTTGGCAGTTGCCTCTCAGAACACTGACCACACAGGCCTCTGCCTCAGTTTCTCCATCAGTAAGGAGTCAAGGCTCCATGTGGGTTGGGGCAGGCACTTCATCGTGTTCTGCACGTGACCTCTGTGACTGTGGGGAGGACGGGCCGCCTGCGGACAGGCTGACTTCTTTATTGCTTTGTTGGCAGGTGACAGCATCAGGGCCTATCTTTCTGGAGTTCAGGGTCCCCCGGGCCCACCTGGTCCCCCAGGGCCCCTCTCCACCATCGCTGGAGAGACTTTTGACTACTCAGAGCTGGCCAGGCACGTCGTGAGCTACATGCGGGGTAAGCCTTCCCCTGCAGGCCGCCTTCCCCCGAGGCTCCTCACGGCCTAGCTCACCGATTACCTCTCTTCCTCGGAACGTGACCTTGGTCCATCAGGCACCCCTTGTGCCAGGTTCTGCCATCGGTCTCAGCAGGGTGGATTGGTGTTAAGAACAGAGGCCATGCCTGAGCACCACATGCAGTGTGCATTTGCCCAGGGTGCTCCTGACCCCTTGTCTGAATGTCCAGGCTGGCAGCTATAGCAAGAGTCAGTCCAAAGCATGTTCTGGCAAGCAAATTTGCTTTTCTTAGCAAGACAGCAGCAGCCCCACCTCCTGTCTGTGCTAAGCAGCCTGTGCTGCCTGCTTCCTTCACGTTCCCCTACAAAAGTGCCTAGTGGACGGGCTTTCAGACACGGGCGGGTCAGCTTCTGGCTCCACAGCAGTCACCTGAGGTCTCCTTCCCACAGCTTCGGGCTATAGCATCAGCCGGCTGTCTGGCTCCATCTCCTCTGAAGACATCCTGGCTCTGCTGCAGCGTGAGTTGCCAAGCCAAGGCAACCCAGGGTGGGCTGTCTTTGCTCCCTGCTCGAAGGACACCTTTCCCTCTCCAGCTTGTGAGGGCTGCAGATGCAGAGTGTGTAGTCCTCAGGATAAGGAGCTGCTGGCCCGCTGCTAAGTAACACAGGACTAGAAGGGGTGGAGTCTGCCCGGCCCTGAGGCCCACAGGGCCCTGGGAGCTCACTGATTGATCCCCTGACCAATGGTGGGCCCCGGACCCCAGAAGCCCAGCTGCCTCTGGGGAGCCAGGCGGTGCGAGGGGTGCTCCGACTGTGGCTGGATGGAGGTACAACAGCCCTGTGGCTGGGGGATCCACGTTAGCACATCCTTCCCTTGCCAGGGGAAGATGTTCTCCAGTACCTGCGCCAGTACCTGATGGGCCCTCGGGGTCCCCCCGGGCCACCAGGAGCCAGTGTCGATGGGTCCCTCTTGTCGTCTTTGAACTACGCGGAGCTGAGCAATCGCATTCTCAGCTACATGGCGAGTGAGTGCCTGCCCTCCTGCCTGCCCCGCCTGGTGGCTGCTGAACCTTCCTGCGGGCAGTGACAAGCCTCACCGAGGGAGCGAGGGACTCCAGGGCAGAGCAAAGAGCCTGTCACTGGAGGCCAGAGGGGTGTCTCGGGCACCGCTGTGTGTTGAGTCAGCATCAAGCACATGCCCACACATACTCACACTCACATGTACACACTCACATGCACTCACACATGCTCACATGCAAGCATACATGCTCACACATGCACTCACATGCCCACAATCACACATGCTCACACACGTACTCACATGCCCACGCATGCTCAATGTTCACACACTCACACATGATCACACACACATGATCACACATTCATACATGCTCACACTCACACATGCACTTACACATATGCACAGTTATACATGCTTACACACAATGCTCACAGTACTCTCACATCACACTCACATGCTCACACACATACCACACACTCATACATGCTCACATGCACTCATACATGCTCACATAATGCTCACACATGTACTCACACATGATCACACATACATGCTCACACACTCATACATGCTCACACTCATGTACTTACACATGCTCACAACACTCACACAAACACACACACACGTATCCTATGCACCCAACAGCAGCACTCCTGTGGGCAGCAGTGACCTGCACTCTCAATTCAGTGCCCTCCTCCATGGGCCACTGCCCTGGACCACACTGCCCCAGACCTCACTGCCCCACTCCATGGTGCCACCCCTTCCTTATTCTTGAGCTCCATTTCGCTAGGGTGCCTGTGGCTGGCCTCTTTTCCCACAGGGCATTGGAATCTGCCCTTCCCTGTCTTAGTTCTCAACTGGGATTTCATCCCCCAGGTTCTGGCATCAGCATCGGGCTTCCTGGCCCACCAGGCCCCCCTGGCCTGCCAGGGACATCTTATGAGGAGCTCCTCGCCTTGCTCCGAGGTAAGGTCAGGCAGGCACGTGCATCTGGGGCCTGGGATGGAAGCAGAGCCCTTGGCCCAGCCCATGACCGACTCCCTGCTCTCTCCCACTGTCTCAGGATCTGAATACAGAGGCATTGTTGGCCCCCCAGGGCCTCCAGGGCCCCCTGGCATCCCGGGCAATGCGTGGTCCAGCATCAGTGTGGAGGACCTCTCATCCTACTTGCACAGTAGGTCACCAGGGACAGGGAGAGGCGAGCAGTGGGCTACAGCTGGCAGGGTGGTCATGGGGAGTCAACCTAGTCCTCCCAGAGCATGCGCAGAGCCAGGTCCACACCTGCTGGGATAGAACTCCCAACCACAGCCTCGGTGGGCTCATGGGCCCACCTGTGATTAGGACCAGCCCAGGCTTCCTGCTGTTCCCCCCATTTGGGGGAGCTCAACCACATCCCACCCCTTTCTAAGAAGCCCCTTTCAGCAGGCCCTGCTACTAGGCTGCATGCCCTTGACCCTTCTTTTCTTTCCTCCTCAGCTGCTGGCTTGTCATCCATCGCAGGCCCACCAGGCCCACCGGGTCCCCCAGGGCCTCGAGGGCCCCCGGGGGTCTCAGCAGCTCTGGCAACCTATGCAGCTGAGAACAATGACAATTTCCGGAGTGAGCTGATTAGCTACCTCACAAGTAGGTGCCCCAGTGTGGGTGTTGGTCTGTACTCCCTCCCCAGACCTTGTATGTTTTTCTAAGTGTCCCTTGGGGTCTAGGAGGCTGGTGTTCAACAGAGGGGTGCTTGGAGGAGCCAGGAAGCCAGCGTGGAGGAGCCAGGCTCTTTCCCCACCAGCGTTCTCGTGTTCACCTGTGGTGACCCTGTGGCTCCCAGGTCTCCTGTCCACCAGCACTTTGAGCTCCGGCTCACACAGCTTCCTACCCATAGGTCCTGATGTGCGCAGCTTCATCGTTGGCCCCCCGGGACCTCCAGGGCCACAGGGTCCCCCTGGAGACAGTCGCTTGGTGTCAAGAGATGGCTCGTACAGTTGGAGTAGCAGCTCTTCTGTCAGACGGGGCTCCTCTTACGGCTCTTCCACGGGCGCCGGAGGAGCCAACGGAGGCTCCTTAGGAGAAGGTGGCGCCTTCGGTGCAGGAGACGGGGGCCCCTATGGCACTGACATCGGGGGCTATGGGACAGCAGCAGAAGGTGGCGTGTATGGAGGCAATGGTGGAGATCTGGATTACAACGCGCTGGCTGTGCGGGTGTCAGAGAGCTTGCAGCGTGAGTAGGGACACAGGCCGGGGTAGGGGTGAGCGCCTTAGCACTGAGGCACCAAGACTGGCCCTGTCTGGTGTGGGGCGCCCAGCCTGGGAAGGCAGCACCACAGGGATCAGACAAGACTGAGGCCAGGAGGTCCCTTCTAACTCAGCCTGAGCGGTGCACCGCCTAAGGTGAAAGTTGAGCTAAGAGGAAGGGCATGCCGACGCACACTGGCGTCTTGGTGCTTTGCTTTCCCAACACCTAACTTGCTCTAGTTCTCAGCAGTCACAGGACCGTAAGCGGCTTTCTTCCAGGGCTGAGGGAAGGCTGTCAGCTAGGAGGTTCCTTCTCCCTGTAGCTGGTCAGCACGATCACAGAGGCCTTACAGGAAAGAATACCCACAGCAGGCAGACCCGGGCCATCACTGGGATTACAGGGGAACACTGCAGGGCTTGGCCCAGGGCTGCTTCCTCTAGTATACCTGCTTTGGGAGTCAACTGACCTGAGCATTCCTGCTGCTTGCCCCTCTGCTGTTCTGCAGGTCAGGGCCTGCTGCAAAACATGGCCTACACTGTCCAGGGCCCACCAGGCCAGCCTGGGCCCCAAGGGCCCCCCGGGGTCAGCAAGGTCTTCTCTGCCTACAGCAACGTGACCCAGGACCTCATGGACTTCTTCCGAAGTAAGGGCACCTTGCTTCTTGCCCAGCATTAAACAGCTGCCATCCCTCTGGGGTTGGGAGTGGGGAGAGCTGCTGTACCGGCCCGACTCACGGAAAACCTCCCAAGCTTTAGGCAAGCTCTCAGACGGATTTTTGCTCTTGCAGCCTATGGAGCCATCCCAGGCCCACCTGGGCAGAAGGGGGATGTGGGCACCCCAGGACCCAAAGGTAAGGGAGGCAGGGAAACGGCCACCAGGACCTGGTACCACAGCAACCCTTGCTGGCGCTGAGTACCAGGGCCACACCTCCAGAGCCCCAATCACTCGTGACTCTACCATCCCATCTGTCCTTCTAGGTGACAGGGGACCACGAGGTCATCCTGGACCACCTGGCTCTCCAGGGCTCAAGGGGGAAAAGGGGGACAAAGGTAAGCCATGGCGCTGCTTGTGATGCTACAGTGCAGAGGCTCAGGCTAAGCGGGGGTGATCTCTCCAGGACCGACCTGAGAGATGCCGAGAAAAGCCAAGCAGACAGGGAGGAAAAGGCAACTGACCTGGCGGTGACATGGGCTGACACTTGATAACCCTACAAGAGATTTAACCTCTGAAGTCATCTTTGCAGTAGCCACATGTCACAGCCACCCACGCTAAGGTCTCATCTTCTTGCAGGGGACCAAGTCTACATTAGGCGGAGTAAGAGAAGTGTCGCCAGCAAGCCCTGAGCTGGCCTTGGCAGAGCAGCCCTGGGCCAGCTCCTGCAGTGTGTGTGGGCCTGTACGTCTGTGAGTGTCCTGCTGAGCTGAAGTCACCTGCCACCATTTAGTCCAAACGGAAGACACAGAAAATCCAGACTCGCATCTCCAGCAGGGTCTTGGAGCGGCCCTGAGGAGCAGCTGCAGTGTTTAGGGTGGAACTCGCTTCCCTGCTATCCAGGCCCGAGCGCCTCGGCTTCTTTAACACTTAGTTTGAACCCCAGCCTAGGAAAGCTAGTTACACAAAGTTGGCTTAGGAGGAGCGGGGCTTTGCCTAAAAGCGAGCCCCAAGAATGGAAGATGGGGCTTAGGTGTCTTCCTGGAGGTGACATGTGAGCGTGCGTCCTGGTTCCTGCTGCAAAGTCGAATGTCATCTTTCTCCCCTCACTGTGCATCCTCAGCCATGGAGGAACTGGCTAAGAAGTGATGCTCGCAAGGGAAGGAATTAACAAATTCACTTCCTCCCTAAGAGGTGATAGTGTTTCTAATAGCTATACCACTTGCTTAGAAAGTCTGATTACAGCTTTGATCTGAATGCACAGGTCCACGCTAGAGGTCACAGGTACATTGTCCTAGACTGCAAGAAATGGGACAGGGGTTGCAGTGGGCAAAGAAGGGGAGAGGAGGGGAAAGGAGGACCTGATGCTGGGGAAACGCTTCCGCCATGACGTCACCCTGAGTCTCACTTAGGAAATGTCTTGGGGGCTGGGCACAGCTGGTGTGTAAGCACTTTTCACTGTCTAAAAATGTCTATGTGTGGTCTACAAGATGAAAAGTCATTTCAAGTGTAAAATATCCAATTAAATTGTTTTCTTTTTTAATATGTTTAATGTGAACAATCTGAACAAAGGTTAAAAAAGGCACTCTGGGTTAACTGGGTCTAACACTTCTATTACATACATGAAGGAACCAGTTGTATGACACATTCCTAGCACTTTATTTAATCACTGAGATGTTTAAGGGCACCCTTCCTGCAACTATTAACTCAATCTGGAAATACGACAAAACATCTGAACGTCTTTCCTAAGCAGACTCTTTAAACATAGGTGCAAACAAATGAGCAGTTAATGTAGTGACTTGCCCTGGAGCAAATTATGATGGCAGCCTAAGTAACACATGGCTAGCAGGGCTCCTATTAGGGGGAGTGTACAAATACCAAATGCCCCACAGAGATCCACAGGAAAATCAGACACCCAAATCCTGATGAGGCTGCACCTGGCCAGCTTGTAAATTTGTTATATATAAGCTGCAGTTCTCAATCGCTTATGAAACATGGGAGTTAAATTAAATCTACTTCTATAACTACTCTTCTAAAAAGCTGGATCTGTTTTCTACCTGACCTTTGCCGAGTACCTCCCATACTGCCTGGAGCAAACAGTTCACGCCCCCCCCCCCGTCAGCCCCCACCAGCCAAGCATGCCACACGGCTTCTGGCGCCACCCCCATGTCCTGACAGCTGCCTGCTTTGAATCGACATGGGAATGTCTGAAAAGGACATTGCAGAACTTCAAACAACTTATCTTACTGCCTAATGAAGACTTAGTATTGTGTACAATGAGTGAATGAAAGGTACTTTTTTTTTGGTGGCACTGGGGATTGAACTCAGGACCTTGCGCTTGCCAGGCAAGTGCTTATTGTACTGAGCTATCTCCCTGGCCCGAAATGTACCTTTTAAAGATTTTAAAACAATTCATCAGTTTTACCCAAATGATGAATTCACATTTTACACTGGAGTTCAAGTACTAAATCCCCTTTAATTATAATTCTCTCATTAATAAGACCTAGAAATTTCCCCCTTGTTATTAGATTTACTAAGATACCCAGGTCTCCAGAGTCTTACGCCTGCAGACATGGAAGATGGGCGTCCTCAGCTCAGTAACAATGGATCTGAGCCTCGTTTCATTAAAAAAAAAAGAGAGAGAGAGCGCTCAGTAATGCACAGCACTCCTAGAAAGCACTGTGCATTATTAGAGAGGACATGCTGTCTCTCTCTGGCCAAGCCAAACACCAGCCAAAGGACGCTGCCCAGTGAAGTGCCCACTGACTCTCCCATGCACTAATCCGTGAATGACGAAAACATTATTTTAGCAGAAGTGACATGACAGGACTCAAAAGGCTTGGTATGGAAGCGAATCCGGGGGCAGTAGTAATAAAACCATGGACACATACACACACCTATGGAAACAACGTAGGCGCCTCCGAAAGGAGCCACGTACTGAAAGACACCAGCAAAGTACCACGAGACATCCGTGTATGCACATGTGCATGTCCCATGTGAGGACACACGTAAGCTTACCAAGAACCAGACGATGATGGAGCAGAACTAGAAGCCCCAAAATGCTGCCGTATTCTCGTGCAGGACAGCCCTGCTTGAAAGATTATCAATAAAAATAAAAATAAAAATAAAAAACTGCTTCCGAGAATAGAGTAAGAAAGAACTTTATTGTTCGTCAATCCCATGATTGAAAGAAGAGACAATATTGATCCCAAACAGACAAGAGGCATAATCTGAAAACTGAAAGTTTAGCTTGTGAACTTATTACACTGCAAAGGATCACAAAAAGCTGCAGCCAACATTTAAAACCGGTAAAATACTCTATTCCAAGCTTCACAGCAGAAACATTAAAACATTACTGAAATCATGTTAGCCACAGAACATTAAGGCGTTAACTCATGCCTTTGATGTAAGAAAAGCATTTAAAATACCATCCCATTTCCTACAAAATATCATTTCCTAGAAAAGTACAGATTTACTTCAGCAGACGCCTGCGGGAACTGGAACTCTTCCCCCCTGCAGCTCCGGTCCTTCTTCAGTCAACGGTGGCCTAGCTAACAGCCTGACTGAGCCTGGCTCCTCAGAGGAGTCAGCACAGCACGCAGAAGGAAAGTGTGCAAAGGGGACAGAAGAGTACAAACAACAGTCACTTCTGACACCGGCTGATGCTCAAGAAATCAGCGGCCCTCGTTAAAGAGGGTCGCATATGCCTGAGAGCTTTGTGCTTGAGGAAACACTACTTAGAGGTAGCTGTGGTTCTGGTTTATATGTAGCTATAATTTGCTGCGTCCTGTCACAGGAAGGGTCCCATATTCTCGGCAAGGGAAAGCACTCTGAATTTCCTCCTCACCCAACCCATAGTTTCCCCCTCGAAAAAGGTAAGAAGTTAACGTGACTCCACCTGAGATAGGAGTTTACCCAGTCATTCCACAACCTTGAACCGACAGGACTAGGAAAGGCAGCTGGAGGCCTGCACTCCAGGAGCTGGGCCTGCACAATGCGGAGGTCTGCTGTGTGCACAGCACACCGGGAGGGGGGAGGGGCTGCTGAGGTGCACACACAGACAATGCCTTTCACGTACGTCACGGCACTTGCTGCTGGGCCACATGCTGCAACAACAGAACAACTAGGGATGGAACTGACAGCACTGTTAGATTTCTAAGAAGTCTGTGCCTCCACCTGCCCTCATGTGAAAAAAAAAATCGCTGTTATCTATGTGACACACAGCCTTACAAGAAGTGGCAGGTGGGGTCAAACCAGCGGACTCTGCAAGACACTTTGGACAGGTTTTCATACCCTGAAGCCTGATGACGAGAGCTCCCCCACACGGAGCACCGTGCAGTCGTGCGCCCACCGGAGCAGCGCTAAGGAGCGCCAGCGCGGACAGCGAGCCCAGGGGCAGGGCTACGGGCCACGTGGGAGCTGCTGAGGAGCGCGCTGTGGGCCCTGCGCTGAGCCTCTCCTGGATGCGGTACGCTGAATTTAAATTAAGGGAGCAGAAAGACCCAAACAATCAAATCAAATTATTTCTGAAATTATTTAAATGACTGAAAAAAGTCTACTGGATGACATACTCATTTTTAAAAAGGCAATAAACTGAGAATTTCAAAAGATGAAGTGGTATGAAAGTCTTTCTCCCACCTCCCTCTTCAAATGACTCATTAAACACACTGGGTAACATTATACTGACTTTTTATCATAGCAATATAAACAAGGTCCATCATCATCCTGAATATTACTTTATAAAGATATATATTTTAAAAGGTTTTCAAAACAATTTTCAACCCAGCAGTTAAGAATAAAGCATTAAGAGTTTCGTCTACAGTAACACATTTATGTGACAAGTGTACGAATTTACAACCATAATGTGTGTGTGTGTGTGTGTGTATATATATATGTACTATTTATTTATTTATTTATTTATGTATTTATAGGGAAAAAAAAAAAAAACTTGGCCAGAACTTAAGGCTACCTACAAAGTTGTCCAAGTAAATTCTGCTTGTGAAAATAATTACAAAATTAAAATTACACATGCATTTTTAAATCATGTAAATCACTGACAAAATAAAATTCAGCATCCAAAATTTTCATATTAACTGGAAGAAAGTGCTACAGGCATTTATTTACATTTTCTTAATATGAATTGGTGTTCTCACATTACATTTACATTTTCACCAGCCTCCAAAGTAATATAACTAACGGCTAGATGTTCACCACTTGGTACCTGGCACTCGTACGAGGAGTGGGCTGCAGGCAGCAGGCAGCACGCGTCGCTTACAGGTGCGCGGCCTGCGGCAGAGCCGAGTGCGAGCGCGGTGCGAGCTGACGCAGGGTTAGACGCTAAGCCTCAGAAGGACTAAGAGTGAACATTTCACTAATAATTATACACATCAGCAACCACAATAAAAGATTCAAGCTTTTCCTACTCAAAGTAAATAATTTAAACAAGGAACGAAATTAAAATAAATGTCCTCATTTCAAAACAAGTCATTTATAATGTGTGCCTAAATATTTAAATAATTTTTTAGAAAACTATTCTGAATGTTTGAGATTAATTTCAGAAAATACATTTATAACTCACTCCATAGACCTTGGAGAGTTTTAAATGAAAAGAATTTGCTACAATGTAGAACTCATTCAACCAGCTCATGTTATTTAAGAAAGCAAACTTGGACATCCCAATCTATATTACTTTTAATGTAGTGAGTTTTTCATTTCCAATCTGGATGTTTTAAAATACTTTTTTTTTTGTCCCATCATCTCAAACTCTGTACAGCATATATTTCAGGATGAAAATGGTAGCAGGAACAAGATTTTAAAAATAATAATGTTCAATATTAAGGTTTTTGTTGTTGTTGTTTTTTGCGGAACCGGGGATTGAACTCAGGCCCTTGCGCTTGCCAGGGAAGCACTTACTCTACTGAGCCATCTCCCCAGCCGGCGTTTTGTTCTTGACCAAAAAGAAAATCCTATTTTGGATGTGACTGGAATTTAGTATCTACTTAGGCACTATCTTAATAAAACCAGCACCTCAATTATTAGTGCCTGCCTAATCAGGCAATGTTTAAAACAAATTACTGAAATAATTTTTCTCTTTTAAGAGTTTGTTCCTATTAAATGATAAAATATTTTTATTTACTGAACCAACAGTGTATTTTGAGCAACTCATAGCTTTTTTTTAATGAGTGCTGATTCAAAAGAAAATTATTCCAACTCTTTACAGCAAAGTTCCAACTGGAGAATTTAGGCATCATTGAAAAGGTAGGTCAGGTAGAAAGGCATTAATACTTAAAGATGTAACAGCTTTTTAAAATAACTTTAAACATTATTTCTCTAACAGTTTCTCAATAACAGTGTCTAAAGAATACAATATGTAAGATTAATATACAAAATCACCTCAGGGAATTACTGCAAGATGCTACTTTGCCCACATATCTAGCATCTGTCTTAGTTCATTTTCCCCTTCATCTTTGCTTAAAACAAAAACAAAAAAAACACCTAGAAGGTGAGTCAGGTGATTGTCTTTGTGAGCTATTTGATACAGACTGTGGCAGAAGATGAAGAGAACAGAATAACATATCTTAAAGGCCAAACCCAACAGAGTATTTCCACTGTTATGATCCAGTAGAATGCAAGCTAGGAATAGGATAGAATTTGGAAATCCGGCTCTGTGTGGACGGGTTAAGGCATTCCGACTCTCCAGTCATTTTAAAGAACACTTCCTGTTCTTGCAGTTTCCTGGCAAACTCTTCTTCTAGTGTCTAAAACAGGAATGGACAAAGAAATTGTTACGTGCTGGCATTATACTATAGAGTTTACCCTATGTAACGATAAACCTACTCGTCCAAATACCTTCTGTGTCAGGAACGGATGACTGCCCAGCCGTTAAGTGCCTACGTTTTGCACAGCCCAAGTTTAAGACTCGGCTCAGTCAGATGAATAGATAACTTAGGACTGATTGCTCTGCCGTAAAACGCTGGTGGTACCATCTACCTCGCTGATCTGCCAAGTGGCAAGGTGATAATGACGCACCTCACGCATGAGCCCTATGGACTTTCATCCGCCTCCCACACCTCACTCACCACGTCTGTGTTCGGTGTTGATGTGATGCTTTCCATGTACACTGGAGTGTGTAAAGCTGTGTAAAGGTGAGATCTACCACCAGATTCATGTTTATATCTCTATCATACGGAACAAAAATAGTACGTGATAAACCCTGAAGGTGACGTACTGAATTAGGAGGCTGGGCCTCTGAGCTACCAGGAGGCCGTGATGGAGCCCTCTAGGCATCAGTGACGCTAAGGGCGCTGAAGAGGAAGCACGCCCCTCTCCACTACGTGAGACCCACAGGTAAGACGTCAGCAGTCTGTAAACCAGAAGAGGCCCTTGCCAGCAAATGGCCACGCAACTCTTGATCTTGGAATTCCCAGCCTCTAATTTAAGGTGTTGTTTTTTTTAATAGTGGCCCAAATTGACTATGACAGGAGCAAAGATTGTCAACAACTGATTTAGGGGGTAAATGTTATTTTTGAGGTAAAAGTTTATAGTTAAGGATGGAGAGATACCGGAAGGTTTGTCAGGAGAGGTAAAACTTGAGCTTAGTCATGAATGAACAGAAGGCATTTGATAAGCAGGACAGGGAAGGCGTGCCAGACACAGGACGCTGACACAGGAAGGACACAAAGACAGGAAACCACAGAGCACTGAATGGCGAGTCTACACCACAGGAGCCTGCGCTGGGAACAGCACGGCTCCTGGGAGAGGAAGCCCAGGGTCGACCCAAGTGTGGCACTAGGAGGGCTCTGAAGCCACACTAAGACATTTATATTACACTCTGACGGCACCAACAATTTACCAGCACCATGGACAGACCAGAAATGTTCCTGAGGATAAATGCTCTGGCTATGGCAGCAAGTAGGAAGAAGAACACAAAGGGAACTAAGTCAGGGCAGAGGGAGGCCCATGGACAATACCGAGCCATCGCAGCACACAGTAACAGCGATGGGAGAGAGAAGGAAAAATATTATGACGAGTATCAACACTAAGCAGTAAAAAAAAAAAAATAAAACAAAACACTAAGCAGTAACTCGTACAATGTGGCATTCATTACAGTAGCGCGTTTGTGACTACTGTCAGAGAGCTAACAAGTACGCCCGGAGGAAGGGCTTGCCACTTTATTCTTTTGAAGCTTTATGATTCTGAGCCACAGAAAGGTATTACCTATTCAAAAAACTTAAAAAATTTGATCTCCATAAGCACAGTCATTGGGCCTGTTATTTCACTTCTAGAAACTTCTGTCCTAAATCAGGAGCTAAATGCCTAGTGCTTGATTAATTGGATAGATGAATGAAAGAAAGGAAAGTTGAAGGTCCATGAAAAAACAAAGGTGTAGGCCTGAGATTTACAACAAGAGAGAAATCAGAGTGACAGCCAGAGTACAAATGGTTAATCAATGAGACCAGGCCAGCAGGGAGCCAGGTATAAGCAAGAAAAACAGAGGGATGCAGTAAGGGAGGCAAGCCATTCCTGTTTTCCTAGATTTTAATCTCACCGCTTTGCCCAGCTCAGCTGTCACTGCTTCCTTTCCTCTCTCTGTCCCAATGTCCACGCTCCTGCCCACCCAGCCTCACCCACCTGCACCACACTCCAGTGACAGGGAACTACCTGCCCTCACTGTGCATGCCACTTTCACTCAAGCTCTTCTCTCTACTTACCGGGCTTCAGCCCCCAGGCCCCCATGTGCCAAGCGAGCTCCTGTCCACCCTGCACCCCCACCCGCCCTACCCCGCCCACCCTACCCTATAAGGCCCCTGCTTATCACCCTGACTTCCCCAGGCCGACTGAAGGGCCCTCCACCACTGCTTCACGTCCTGCTCCTGCCCTCCAGCCTGCACTCACTCCTTCAGAATAACGATCCCACAAGGAGCGACTGCTTGTCACTTGATTCTACCTCTTGTAGGAACAGGAGCTTTGTCTTTCCACCTCCACGCCTGTCCCTGACACTGCACCTGCCCAGCGCCGGGTGGCAGAGGAGCACCGACGCAGCGTTCGAGCCGCACGCTTATAGTCACCTTTTTCCGAGGCCGCAGTCTCTCCCTCCACTCCTTCAATTCTTGGCTGTGCTCTTCATCTAACTCCTTGAGTTTCTGAGTCTCGTGTTCAACCAACAGGTGGCATTTTTCATTCTGGAAGTAAAATTTGGATTAAATAAATTTCAGATAAACTAAACACGGTTTAACAAATACAAATTTCTTCGAAAATATTAAGTTATTCAAACATAAAGCCTTGTTTAAGTTCAAATTCTCTAAAAACTAAGGCCCAAGAATTACGAAATAAGTTTCATTTTTGGTAAATTTACAGCTAGGTCTGTTAAAATACCGTATGAAAAGAAGAGTAGAATTAACTTGGCCCTCACTACCACTTTTCATCAGATGGTACCAGAATGCACGGGTGGGTTCTGGTCTACACTGGAAAGCTAAGCAAATGTCTAGAGCATCCGCACATTGTCTACACTACTCTGATACTTTAAACATTTTAGGTTATGCTCTAAACAAGCTGCCCATTGCCAGTAGGATCCAAAAACAGCCCTCTCTACATTTCATGGGGGGAGGAAAATGCCTATCACTTTAAAAAAAAAAAAAAAAACCTAAAATAAAAACATAAAATGAAATAAAATAAACCTAAAAGAAAATCTACCACGTCCTTGCAAAAGGAAAAGAAATTTTAAATTCAGAATCTGACAAAAACTGTATCATTTTGTAAACCTTTCAATCTTTCTGTAAAACATCATTTACTCAATAATGCTTTTACCTTTTTTTCCCCTGGTTTGAGACAGGGTTTCAATACATCGTTTCAGCTGGCCTGGGGCTCGCTATAGCCCAGGGTGACCTCGATCTCCCAGTGATGCTCCTGCCTTGGCCTGTGGAGCGCTGAGATTCTAGGTGTCTGCCACCTCACCTGGCTATGGACTGCTCTACACTAACTTCCTTCGTAGGTTGTAATTTAGCTACACGTTACACTAGTCTTGGTTTTATAAAACATGAACAGAAGTCTATTATACTAAACCGACCTTCATTTTGGTTTATGCAGGAAACACAGCGTCTGCACTTCAGAGCGGTCAGGAGAGCCAGCCGCCCCTGTCCTCAGGCACCGCACGCCTCCGCCCAGCCCCGCAGTCTGCCACCCTTCTGCACCAACCTGCAGCTGATGCAGCTCTCTGACGTTGGCTTCGCACTGCAGCTGAAGATCCCGCATTTGATTTTCATGTTTCTGATGCTGTGCCATTCTCTCATTTTTCTGCCTCTTTTCCTCTTGTGCAGCAAACTGGAGACAAGAACAACAAATTACGTATATGAACGTGTGATTTCTACATATTCTAAAGGCACGGGTGAGGAGTTTAACAAAATTTAAAGTACAGTAAGCTAAAGCTGCAGACAATCCTATCTAGACTCCTCGTGGAGTCTCATGACCTGGGCAGGGAAGGGGAAGCAGAAATACAGCACTTCTGACTACAGACCCTGGCCTCCAACGACACTGCTTAGGGAGCTCAGTTAACCTGTGCAACACATCTGCAATTGCTGAAGTACCACAGCAAGAGCAGTTCTGACTTCAACAGCTGTGCAAACAGGTGGGCACACCCGCAATCTAAGGGCTTTGGGAGGCTGAGGCAAGATCACTGAACACAGCGTTGGCAACTTGACAACTCAATGGGACATAAAGGGGGCAGAGTCAGCAATGTCACTCAGTATGAAGATTACGGGTTCAATACCCAAGACTGCAAAATAACAAAACACCATCCCAGCCATCTTATTCCTGTAGGGCACAGGCTTTGTCTGGGGTCACAGGGAATGTGCCCTCCACAGTCCCCGCCCGGAGAAGACTACACTGGAAAATGCCATGCACACTGCCCCACCAGTGAGAACCGATACCAAGGTGGCTCTAAACATTTACAGTCCAAGTATGTGGCCCTTCAAAATCATTTAGAACCTTAATACTTAGAAGAGAGTAATTTGCTTATTTACCTGCTTAATTTTGTCACGGTCCTGATCGGGTGTGGCTGTTGAGTTGATTCTCAAACTCTTCTTAAACATGGCCATGCGAGTCTTGGCTTCACTGCGCTGGATCTTGGGCAGCCTCGCTCTCTCCTGAGTTTGTCGGTTTTTCAGTTCTTCAATGAGCCGCTGATTGTAACGCTGCATCTGCTCTGTTTCCTAGGAGTGTCGTGGAGGGGATCAGCCACTCAGAGCCCACAGAAGCGCTTAGCAGGGACATCTGTTTCTCACAGACACTTGCTCCTTGTGGCAGTGAGCAGCAACGCATTAGGCAAAAACTAATTTTAAATAATCAGTGATGAGCCTTACATTGAAATTCTTTACTAAGTAGAGAAAATCCACATTTTTAAGATACTTGACCACAACTGGAGCTAAAATAGCTACCTCTGAGACATGAGATGAAGACCACAATTTCAGGGGGAGCGCGCCTGTGCTCATGTGCCGAGGCCGGCTCTGTGGTTACTGCGGAAGGCTCTCACAGGCTCACCCGCACTGGTGCAGGCTGCCACATGCTGGGATTAATTACCTTCCCTACAGGAAAGAAGCTTGCAGTCAAGATACAACTAACTCTGAAGTTCACCGAAGAAATTTTAAGATAAAAGAAAGGAAATTAAGAGATTCATTCTCTAAGAAACATAAAAACTATCTTTGTAAATTTCAAAATGAATGAACAACACAATGCTCCTTTAACCTTCTCATGGCGCTTAAGTAGCTGATGCCGCTGCATGAAGTACTGGTCTTTAAGTTGCTGCTTGAGCAGCTGGTGTTTTTCTTGCAGGTGCCTCTCTTCAAGCTCCCAAACTGCAGCTTCTCGAGCTAGAAGGATGTAATTTCCACAATGTCACTGGACTCTTTACTAACATACTCTCCCATTCATTTTAACATTTACATCCAAGTGCTCGACACATATTACCTTGTACATATCAACTAACAGAGCTACAAATAAAACGTTATAAATGTAAAGATAATGTCTATTACCACTTCCCATTCTATTTTTATATCTTATAAACTGGAAACATCCTACCATGAACATCAAAATTCTGTTTTGTCATTGTAGAAAGGAAAAAAAAAACCAAAAACCAAAGCTAATTTATAGTAGGAATAAACACTTTTTTTTGGGGGGGGGGCAGAAGCGGGGATTGAACTCAGGCCCTTGTGCTTGCTAGGGAAGCAAGTACTTATTCTACTGAGCCATCTCCCCGGCCCCAACACTTTCAATCCCATTCCATCACATAGCTATTAAGTACACTAACTATAAAGGATAACATCACCTGGCCAGGAACACACTTTGAGATTGCTTTTTTGTTTTGGTTTTGCTTAATGGTTCTGGGATCAACTCATGGGCTCGTGCATGCTAAGCACCTGATCTACCACTGAGCCACCACCTATTTTAAGTATATGCTTATGTTCATGTCTATGCCATAAAGGAATTCTGTATCTTGCAGTAGTTCTTAATTTTAGCTTTTTCCTATTTACACAACTTTCTTATCTTTTTCCTTAGCACTCTGGCAAAGGAAAGCATTCAAATATCGTCCTTGGTACGTCTCGGCAGAGCTTCTGAGGCATCACTCTCTGCGCACACGCTGAGGAATCTCACGTACCTCTCATGAGCTGCTGTTTGTTGTTCAGGCACTCCCTCTCAATGTTGGCCAATTCTGCCTTCTGCTGCTGGATGATCTTTTTCAGAGAGCCATCTAATTCTTGCTGTTGCTTCTGAACAAAATCTTGCTCCTATTAGACACAATTAACCACATGTTAGTATCTACTGAGCTAAGCATCCATTTAAGTATGTGACAATCTGTATTAGTACTCAGTAAGATTTATGCATTCATTTTGTGGCACTGGGGATCGAGCCCTAGGCATCAGGCATGCTAGGCAACCATCCCACTACTGAGCTCAATCACCACTGGCTAACAAGATTTCTAAACCAAGTTTACAAACCTAGGAGGATTTGAAAATCACCAAAACTATCAGCACATATATAACATACCTACAAATATACAATATAAATTAAACATCCAATTCAATTCGAGAAAAACTTTCACAATTACAAATTATTCTCACTTCACTATTGAGAATGACACAAAAAATTTGATAGCCCATTCATAACTAAAATATCCTAGGACATTAGCAGCTTTGAGAAAACAATAAATTTATAACTTGTAAAACTGTTCACTCCACTGTTACATAACTAGAACAAGAACAAACAAGAAGAGCCCTCCAGGAAGAAGAGCAATAATGAGCTAGGAAGCAGCAAGGATGTGGAACTGTGGGCTCTATTTTTCTAAGTTACCGAGAGGAAGGAAAGACCGCCGTGACTGCACTAGCAGTGGGAGAATGACTCTTTCTACAGCCGTGCTTGAAAGGAAGCACAGTCATTTGAGGGTTTGATTAGAAGTAATAGATGGCTAGAGAGACACAAACTAGAACTACCTGGAAAGGGAGTTAATGCTGTAAATCTACAAACAAGACTCCCATAGTTGTGAAATTCTATCAACATATTTGGAATTTACTAATTAATTCAACAAACATTGAGTACCCACAATCTGCCAAGTTTATGCTTTCCATTAAGCATAAACTGCATTTACTTGGCATCGAGTAAATCTGGATCTCCATCCCTTTCTTGGCAGTGACAACAGCTGGGGATTAACTCACGAGATCTGGAGATCAATTTAACTGCAGATTTAAACTGTATTAAGATTGAAGTATCATATCACCTATAATCCCTCCTCTTGAATATCGAAAAGATCAAACCCCCAAATCCATCCTGGAACTTCTTGGCCTTGGACAGAGTAGCCTGGTCCTCCATGCACCCAGGGGTCCAGCAGGTTCTCAAAATCGCTGCCTCCTGACAGTACCTCTGGAAGTACTCACTTTAGACTGTCATGCTAAAGTAACGTGGAGTCAGAGATGGTCACGTTTCATTTACGTCACCACTTTATTTTAGCACAAATACAACTATGCAGTAGCAGAAAACAAAGACTAGGGAATTGCCTCTATAAAATATACTCTCTTGACTATAGTTACCTAGTATGCAACTGTTACCAGCCAAAAATTTTAAAAGAATATTTAAATACAAATTCGAATAGCTTTTTGAATTTTATTAAACAGATACAAAATCTACAAGCATGTGTTTCAAAAAATTGTAACAAGGAATGTTGTTCAAGCTTCTTTTTCCATATATATGTACGTACAAACATACATGTATGTATGTATGTATGTATGTATACATGACTGTTCATTCATTTGTGAGTCTCCCTGTGCACTTCAGGATGGCCTTGAACTCACTATGCAGCCGAGGCTGACCTCAAACTCATGGCAACCCTCCTGCCTCAGCCTACTGCATACTGGCATTACAGGTGTGTACCATGCCCTTACAGTAAATATTTATAATAAAATTAAATTGTTTCTCTAATCTCAATTATAAAATTTCTACATGAAAGCATGTTTAATAAACTTATCACCTAAAGACATAGTAAAAAGTTTCTTCTGATCAACAATCATTGGTTTGCACAAGTAATTTTCTTTTAATCTTCGTGAATAAAAACAATGGGTCTACCTTAAGTGGCATATAATCTTGCATTTAGATTCAAAGAAATCAAATGTGAAGTACAGAATAAAGTGAATAAATACGTGAAAATAAAAGGTAAATATAAACCATGCTACTAACATGAATATAATTTCTTATCTATGTACATTTTGGTAACTATTATCACAATATATCCATATCTACCCATGATAAGAGTTTGATTCAGCTTCTTGGTCTTTTGGCTAAGATCAAGTGAAGAGCTCAATTCAAAGACAATGTTCAGTAAGCATTTAGCAAATGCTGGGCACTGTGCTAGTTACTGGGTTACTAAGATAAGAGTTTAGCTTTTAAAGACTTCCATTATGCTGATCTCTAGCCCCTTCCTTCAGCACCACACTTCAACAGTTCAAAAGTGCACCACAAAAGACAACTAGGATAAAGGGCACTGATTCCAGGTCTCATAATAAGTGAAAGGACTGCAGACGTGTACCCCAAAGCTGCTCATATTTAGGGTAAGCAAGGGTCGCAGTGGCTACAAGGAGCAAGGGGAACCAGTGCTATGCTCCAGGAGAAGCAGAACAAGATCAGCAGGTGAAAGCCACGGCGGGCAGGCTGGTCTTCGAGACAGAGCATCACTGTGCAGCTCAGGCGGCTCCCACTCACGCCACCCGCCCACCTCACCTCCGCCCCCGAGCCCTGGGACTACAGGTTTGCACCAGCACATCCGATGCAAGAAGCAGTTACAAAAGCAGTGTACGTAACAAGCAGAGTCTGCAAAGAACCCAGCTCCTTCTCAGCTGCGTGAGGAAGCAGGGTCTGAACAACAACATACTCAGAAATATAAAACACTTTTCAGATTAAAGTTAAAAATTATCTGGTAAGGTTCCTTACACACAAATTAATATATTTAACCTTAAAAGAAATGCAACTTTACTATTATTGGGTACTCATTAAATTTTTTAACTTCAAAAACTAAATATACATTTATAATGGAATGTGTAGCTAGAAATTACTTTTAGGAACTAAGAGAAATCTTACGTTCCATAAAGACTGCACAAATTATATTCACTTTAAAAAAAGATGGGTTTAGTCACTAGAAATAACAGACAACAATCAAAAAGCTAGTAAGGGTAAAAGTCATTTTAAAAATTAGTCACGCAAACTGTTAAAAGATTGCCTCTTACAAGTACAAATTTAAATTGTGATAAGGAAATTCTACCCTATTAGTTAAATAACTGTAAGCATCAAAACTACAACTATGGGATTTATAAAACTAAGAAAGGATTATGATATATTGAGCTATTTATACAGAATTTTATTCTTTTAACTCAAAAAATTTGTATAAATGGCAATGATCAGAAAAGTGATTGTACTTCACAATGTCTCCTGATTTTAAAAATTCCTTGATTTTCTAATTCATTTAGAAGACTGCAAAAAGAGTGAAACATCTGCCAATAATTTTTTAAATATAATTTTGCAAGCAAGAAAACAAGAGAAGTTGAAATCAAAGCTGTATTCTATCTACTCCGGTTGTGTATTTCGACTCTCACAAATGAAAGCTATAAATGAGCTAGTCCTCCCATCTGGAAACCGTGAGAAAGAATACAGCCTGGAATTCCAGACTTCAGTCAAAACTACAGTGACAAGAACGGCAACTCACTGTTCATTATTGACAGTTAAATAAAAGGAAACTAGAGCTAAATGGAACTAAAGTCTCCACTTCATCATGGCTTTTCTGACCATATCCATAATTGAAACATCTATATATAAACATAAGCAATCAAAACACTTCACACAAAGATAAAAATCTAATCACAGCACTCAATTTCTCACATGTGCGAAACTTATAAAATACTACTGGGAAGATATTTTACTTTTCTTTAAAAAGATGAAAATCTCAAATTAAAATCTGTGGTGGAGCAAATTTAAGAGAAGAACGCTATTTTAAGGGTTCTAGTTCCAGCTCCGCCACCAAGAGGATGCAGCCCAGCCCTGCATGAGGGCGCTGGCAACGAGCAGCAGACGGCAAAAGCGCACGTCAGGCTACTAAGAGTATCGTCGGTCCTGACGCAATCATCTACCAATTCCCTACACTTCAGAAGACGAAATTAACAATGAACAGGCACATGTGAGTCAAAGAGAGCGCAGGTAGAACAGCAGAAGGCACCCTCCCACAGGCACTTGCGACTTACGTCCTGCACTGGGGCGCGGAAGACTGCGCAGGAGGACAAGTGAAAAGACTGAATCATGACCTGAGCAACACCCTGTGGATCAGAATACAGTGCACCTCCCAGGTGAGAATACATCTGAATGACTTTCTGTAAATGTCAGGCATAATTATGCAACGTTATGTTTAGTTTCTTGAAACCTAGATCCGGTGAATTCAATTACCCAAGGGGACTCTCTCACTGTAGAATGAAAGATGTGGACTCCTTCAGCAGTTCCCAAACTCTAGTGTTTTGCTGTTGTTTTTTAAACCAGCAGAACCTCCTTTTTAAAAACTCACCCAAAACGTGTTTAAAAAGCAAAAAGCAGTGCTGCTGTAGTTCAAGTGGAAGTAGGAGCTCACAGACCGTCCTTGCCTGCAGCGGCTCCTGCAGGACAGCCTGAAAACCACTGCACTAGGTTTCAAAAAATTTAGCTCCACAACTACAGCTATTATTAATGAATTCCTTTTTAAAAAGTAAATTAATTATAAATTAGCAAGTTTGAGTGAGTCCATCACAGGGAAACATATACCTTAAGAGTTTAAACTCTCCAGTTTATAGAAGAATTTACTCCTACTTTCAGTTTCAGTTGAAAAAAATGTAGAGTGCCCCCCCCCAAATTATGTGAAAAACTATCAGAAAAGACATATCTAAATATTTGGTCACCTGGCATTCATTCAACACTAAACCTTCGATTTCAACTTCAAAGTCTGATACATTGCCCTTTAGAATTAAAGAAGTCTATATTCCTTTATAAGGCAAGACTATATTGTCATTTACCATCTGGTTTGAAAGCCAAATGAACCAGAAGTAGAGGTGTGGCAAGCAAGGATTTCCTGTGCACGTCTGTCAAGAAGGACCGCCATCAGCCAGCAACCCCTGGACCGAGTGCGCGCGAGCAGGGGCGGTGCAGAGCGGCTCCTTCCGCCCGCCCCGCAGGCCCAGGTGGGGCTGATGGGGGTGGGACCCCAGACCCAGGCTAACCATCGGTGGGCCCCCCAGCCGGCCGCCCGCACGCGCGGAGCGGCCCTGAGCGCCACTCGCCCCAAGGCTTGGTCCGCTCTCCCCCACAGTGGAGCTGTGTGCTGTGCGTGCACCTAGAGAGGCCCCGAAGAGCGCCTGCCGCACAGGGAGCGCGGCGTTGTTATCGACACTACGTTAGTAATCCCCATGGCAGCTTGAGGCAAAAATGGATTACCGGCTCACGGCAAGCAAAATAAAAAGCAAAACAAACTAATTTTATTCAAAAAAGCCAGCTTTGCTATATTTTAAATTCTAAGATTATACTTTCCTTATTTTTCATAGCATATTCTTTTCTCTGAAATGATAGGGACAAACAAATTGGGTCTAAAAATAACTTACTTGACAAAAAAAGTAAATATGGCAATCTCTGTCATAGTCTCAGTGGTAAAAGTTTGAAACCACTTCTAAAACTCACATAAAACCATACTGAAAGACTAAATCAAAGCAGTAATTAACATATACTTGATGTGTCTTTTTTATTGACATTTTAAACTAAAAATTGGGCTCATTTATCTATCTTTGCCTCTAGGATTAATACAAACTTAATTATTATTATTTTTTTTTTTTTGGCAGAACCGGGGATTGAACTCAGGCCCTTGAGCTTGCCAGGGAAGCGCTTATTCCATTGAACCATCTCCCCGGCCCTGCAAGCTTAATTAAAATATTCACCTTTTTAGTATAGAAGACCTTATACAGTCATGTGAGGAAATTCTATTAAAAATATTTACTTTTTTTTAAAATTTTATTTATTTGTGTGTGTGTGTGTGTGTGTGTGTGGCCAGGTCAGCCCACCAGGGGGCGGGGCTGGCTGGCATGTGGTGCTGGGGATTGAACCGCGGTCTCTGTGCTTTGCTGAGCTTGTTCTAAGTAGGTGCTTTAGACCACTGAGCCATCTCACCAGCCCTAAAAATATTTACTTTTGTGAAGAAGTAACACATCATATGACAAAGTCTTATCAATCTAAAATTTAGTTTCTTTAACTCTGTATTAGTGAAATAGTATACTCAGTAAACTGTTAGAATCTGAATTGAAAATAAAAATAATGTACTTAAAATCTGATTTTTTTTTTTTTATCTGATTTTTTGAGGGCTGGCCAGATAGCTCAGTGGACTAAAGAGTCTGCTTGGGCAGAGCACAGCAGCCGGGGTTCGATCCCCAAGTGCCATGCCTGCCCCGCCTCCAGGGTGCTCTGAAACTCAACTGAGACTGGGCATCGTAGCACACACCTGTAACCCCAGTGCTTGGGAGGCTGAAAACAGGAGAATCTCTACAAGTCTGATCTATGCAGAGACCTTGTACTAAATACATAAAAAATAAACAAATAAATAAAATCTTATTTTTTTAATTGGTTTTTCGAGACAGGGTCCTGCTATGTAGTCCATGCTGGTCCTAAATTCCTAGTGATCCTCCTGTCTCAGCCTCTTGAGTGCTGGGATCACAGGTGTGTGCTACCACGCCCAGCCAAATTCTGATTTTAAAGTTGCCTAGGTCGTCATACGGCTGGAAAGTAATGTTTCACCTACCATTTAACATTACCATTGACCATTTTCCTTGTAGCTTCAAACTTTAGAGAAATAACAACCTAACAGGCATTCTTTTCCTAAGCACGATGTTTATAAACTCACCTCCTTTCTAGTCTACAATTTTTCTATTAAACACTGATATCACACTTAAAAATACAATTTCCATCATGACTAAAATTTGGTAACAGTGGATTTTACATTAACATATTGTTTCTTTCTTCTGGATTGAGCTTTCTAAACAATTCACTCACTTTCTTATTAGCAACTTAAGTATCAGTGTGAATTTAGTACTAAAAGAAAAATCCTGGGAACCTCTGGATGGGGAAAAAGTCATCATAGAATAACTACAGTTAACATCTACCCTTTCCGCCAGGTTTCCTGGGCTGTGAGAAAACGCTGCTTTCTGGTTTAGTCACATTCAGCTGCTGCCGTTACCTGAACATGCTGGCTTTGTGCAAGCTCCTCTTTCCTGCGTTTCAGGAGCTCTTTTCTCAGATCTTTGGGTGCTTTCTCCACTTCATTTAAAACCTACAGTGTATGAGCACGCAGGAAGTGGGGAAATAATGCTTTCGCCACAGCAAGCAAGCACGTGAGAAGACAAGCTACACGTCAAGGATTAAAGCTGTTTAAAAGGTCCTTTCAACATGCATTAGCGTGTTAGTTGGGTGAAAAAGAAGAAAAGGATACAGCATGCATAATTTCAGCGCAGAAAGGGACACTAAGCATATAAAGGTTAATTAGTTGCTTAATTAACCACATATGTTCTCTTAAAGGAAACAAAGGCAATCAGTGAAGGGTAACTTGCAGGACTCCTGCTGAACTACAGGTGATAAACTCAACTGACCTTGACAGCTCGGAAAATTATACTGACATTGTTTGAAACAATAAACATAAGAAAAACTACCAGTTATAAAAGTGCAAACTTTTATAACTGGCTTGATAATACCAAAGAAATAATTCTACATGAAATCCACTTAATGAGACTGGGGGGGAGGAAAAAAGGAAAGGAAATCTTAGAATTTGCAAAGGAGAAACAAATGGGCACTAAATTTTTTCCATTAAACACACCTTTTTACACAGTGTGATAAAAACAAACATGTCTGATGATTTTTTACAATGACAGTAACATTCTCCTTTGCTAGCAATTTAAGCCACACTTGTCAACTTTCAAATCTGTAGTATAAACACTTTAAGTTTGGTAAATTCTGATTTATTATACTTCATATATGTTATAAGGTCTTCTTCAAATCATTTCAAAATCCTAGATAAGTATTCCATCTACAATAGCTCTATAATCTAACTATGAAAAACAATCATGTGTTTACAAGTAGAAGCACCAAAAGAAACCAGATTCCAAATCACCACATGCCATCAATGGTCAGAAAGACTGATTCTGATTTAATATAGTGTATCTAAAATTTTCCATCAGTAATCTCTCATGAAACCAAATCACCAATAAAAGAAAGAGACTCCCCAAATGCAAGAAGTTTAGCAATAAAGGAAAAATACACAATTACTTTAAATATGCATTACATGATCTCAAACACGTTGACTAGCTAAAACTCTAACTCAAAACAGTAACTGACTAGAAATCTATTTATTTAGAATATCACATATATTTAAATCATCTGATACAAAGAATAATTTCTGAATAAAAACTACCCATACTCTTAAGGAAACTAGCAAATATTCCTGTAATGGTAAATAGAGTGGTTGCACACAAAACATGGTAAATGGTCACAAAGTTAGTTTTTAGAAGTGGCGGCCACTTCAAATGCAATTATGCGACAACACTGTTTACTGACACTCAGCTCTCTTCTATTTGGCACAAGAAGCACACGCTAAGTAGGGCTGAGCAGAGTGAGGGAGGCTGCTTCTCGTGAAGGGCAGGGGGTATGAGGGTTTTACATACTTTCTACTTTTTTCTTCAGAATTTAAAATGTTACAGTCAATGAATCTGGGTGATTAAGATGTGTAACAAAAATAAAAATGAATCAATATTTGGTTGAGATTTTAAAATTCTAATCCTAATAGAGTTATTTACAATTATTTTCCTGGGATCTTCAGTAATATTAAAAGGCAAATTCACCTCCTGTGCTGAAGACATAGTATAAATCATAACATTATCTCTGAAAATTCCTTGGATGTAAAGTTCTTAGAGTTTTAATTCGGCAATGAAAAGACAATAATAATAATGGAACTCTTCCTTACGCATCAGTGATAATCTTTTATAGAAAATACTAAAGCAAATAAATTCTGTAACAGTTTGAAACCACACTAGGAAAGATAAAGAATTCATACTAATCAATTTATAGCTATTTTCCACTTTAAGTTCCTCAAAGTACCTCCAAATTTGTTAAGCTCAGAGATATTTTTTCAAATTTCAAGCTACTCAATAGTTTTTGGTTGGCATAATGTCCAAGAAAATGAATAATGTTAATCAAAAAACGTACTGAAAGTATGAATTAAGGACAACAGATATGAAATTACTGGTACCCACTGGCAAATACCAACGAAGGTTTCTTGAAAAATATTGTCATTGTCACATAAGGCCTTAAAATCTGTATTAATAAAAGAGAAATGGTAGGTTGGACTATGGATTAGACCTAACTTGAAGACCTGCTTAGGGTTTAGCTAGAGGGGGTATTTTGGATTGGTAGTTATTAAACTTGACTGTGCCACGAAAGCCTCTCTTTTTCCAGTTTTCTTGCTAATAAAAAGTGAGGGTGACATCTGCTCCTACTCCACCACCTCACACCACTGTGGGGAAGACAAAATAAAGCAGTGAATGGGTGCTATTTAGCTACCAGGTACTGCTCCTACTTCTGTAGGCCATGTTAAATTTACATTTCAAAAAATGTTCTAATAATTAAAAACAGTATTTAGACGTACCTCCTTCTTTCGATTCTTCAATATATTCTGAAATTTGGACAGCTCCTTTTCTTGCTCTCCTTTGATGCGTTTGGCTTCATCTCGCAAGCGATTTGTGTGCTCTTGTTCGAGTCGTTCAATAGTCTGTTTCTGCTGCTTTTCTAGATTCTCAATTTCTTGGTCATATTGTCGCTTTTTATTCTGTGAAGTATAGGTTAAGATGACTTAACTTTCCTAATATGCACACTTATGGATTAAAGTGAAGATATTTTCAAAGAGCATATAACTAGTATTTAAATTAAGTGCCACAACCCTTTCAGTACTAAACAAATCAAATACCCTGAACTGTTGGAAAGTGTTCAGGAAGTAGCATTTTACCTAACATGGAAAACATTTTTATTTTCATTCTGCAAGTAGCAGAAGCTAAACATGTTTAGACCAATCCAAAAGGATGTTCAGTTGCTATGTATTACTTCAGTTAGAAAACGAAAGTATTCATTCAATAAAATTTTTTGATAAATCAAAGGGCTCACCTGAATTGGCTTTAATAATGTAACATTATTCATCGTTTTGAAATTTACTCTTCTTTAAGAGTCTTAAAATAAGTACCCCATGGTACTAAAACAAATATTTTGTAATTATAAATCAACTATTTCAACAAAATACTCTTACTTGTATAGGACTTGAATAGGCAAGTCTGGATAGATGTATAATTAAATATTTGCAAAAAAACTTTTTATGAAATTGAAAAGCAAAATATTTAGGAAAATATGTGGAAGGAAAAGAGACAGTTTTCATATAGGCCTGGAAAAGAGAATACAAATACTACAAAAATATACAATGAAAACAAATTTTCATAGAAATCTATATTTTTCTACCACATAAAACCAACAAGGCCTTATTTCATGTAAAACAATCCTCACCATCTAAAATTACACAGGAAGACTATATACAAACACAAAATTTATTTTAAATATTTCTTTCCTAATCCACACTAAGTTACATGATCAACGTAAACTAATAAAATTTTGCATCACATTATTAATTCCTTCTTAAATTTTGGGCATAAGAAAACCTCAAGGACTCAGCAACACTTGACCAGCACTGCTCCATTGGTAGCAGTGTACAGGGCTGCGGGGCCTTCCTACAGGACCCGGGGAGAAGGAATACCGGGAAAAGCTCCTCGGAAGTTCTCATACTTAGCCAGGCTTGAAGACAACTGCTTTAGCTCCAGGCTGGTTTAAAATCTTAGCTTCTAAACTGAAAGAGTGAATTAAGTCACTAATAGGCACAACTAAGAATTCTTTGGCTTCGTGTTTCCAAGTTTTCATGACAGACAAGCTGGGAAAAAATAAAGACCCTGTCATACCATAAGTCAGTGAAACAAAACTGAAACTGGAAAATTCTTCCAAGAAAGGAATTTTAAAAAAAAAAAAAAAAAAAAAAGACATCTAGAACACCAAAAAGTAAAAAGAGTAAAAGAGTAAAGGCTACAAATAGATCACAAAATCAGGAAAAATCTAATGATTCAGAACAAATTCTAAAACCTTCCAGTTGTTTATTTTTTGGTTGTTTTTTTTTTTTTTTTTTGCAGAACCGGAGATTAGAACTCAGGCACTTCCCCTTGCCAGGGAAGCATATATTCCACTGAGCCTTCTCCCCGGTCCCTTAGTTGTTTTTTTTTTAAAGCACTAAATATTATTAACAAAATAGTACAAAAATCTAAGATGTTACCATCATTTCTTGCTCAAAGCGCCGGAAAATTTGTTCTCGCTGTTGCTGTAGTTTGCCATTGAGTTGCTGTTGAGCTCTTTGCTCCTCTTTCTGAAGAAATCTTAATTCTCGAAGCTCCTGACGTCTGACAAAAGTAATGACAAAGAAGGAGACTGCAAAAATTACACCTTAGAACAAATACTTTTTCTTTTCCTTTTTTTTTAAACAAAGCTTTAAAAATTCAGGGCTGAGGCAGGAGGATTACTGTGAATTTGAGGCCAGTCTGGGCTACAAAGTGAGTTCAAGGGGGTCTGCCCCTTAGCTCAGTTCTTTAACTGGCTGCTTCAACAAAGCAGTCAGGCTCAGGTTGCTGTGGTTCGATCCCCACAACACAAGACAGCCAGTCATGCCTTGAAGGCATTCGGAGCAAAAAAAACAAAAAAACAAAGTGAGTTCAAGGCCAGCTTGAGCCATACACTGAAACCTGTCCCAAAGGGGGGGGGGGGAGTTGTTTCTCTACTCACCTAAGAAACCTCAATTCTTCTGTTTTAGAATCACTATCTGTAACTATCTTTGACGTTGTAACACTCACTTCTACACCATCAACAATAAATTTGCGTGTTTTCTTCAGTGTTTTCTTCTGTCTTCTTGTTTCCTAAGAGAGATTTTAATTAGGCTTTCAATACAAAATACTGGATGCAGAAAACATATTATTTGAAAATAAAATACCTGAACAGCATGAAGACTATAAAATAAGCATATTAAGTAATACCACTCCTCTGGGAAACCAGTTACATTACCTTAAATCTCATCTGAGTTAGATTTAACTTCACAGAAGAAATCAAGTATTTTAAAAAGTGAGAGATAATGTGCATATAAAACTTGTATGATAGTATATAATTAGGCACACGCAACGACTTTTACGTGTCGATTAATTTTTCATCTTTCCACTTTTGTGAGTTCAAGGTACTCCTGTTTCTTCACTGACAAAACATTTAATAATTAATTCCTTGAGCTAGATGCTGTAGTATACATGTGTAATCCCAGCACAAGAGAAGCTGAGGCAGGAGGATCACTGTCAAGTTCAAGGCCAGCCAGGGATACAGCATGAGACCCTGTCTCAAAAAGCTGTGGGAAGAAAAAATTCCTAAGGCTCATCCCTTGAAAAACTAAAGCGATGGGTCTGCGTGTGGCTGTGTTTTCTGAAGATTCTCGGCATCAAAATCTATTCAGTCAGTAACATCTGCATCACAAGTACTCCTCTACATGGGACCACAGCTAGATGCGCCGTGCCCCAGCCACTAAAAGGGTGGTGTGCTACTACCCGCTAGACAAGAACGACCCACTAGCTAGCCACTGCCTCAAATTTCTTATCAAGACCAAACTCTGTTTCTCACCAGGTACCTACAAATTTTAAAATGTAAATAGAAATAGTACAAATACACATCTTTGTAAACAGATTAAGTATAGAGTACAGAAGGTTAGAAAAAAGAGAAAAAAAACTTAAAAGGCAAGAACACAAAACTTAAAATGCATTAGAATTCTACAAAGCCCACTCCTGGGACCCTTGGACCACCCTCTGTCTATACTGTGCCACCCTCTGGTTCCCTAGGTCCTCCTGCTCCTCTCCCGAAAGCCTGACTAGTCACTGCCCCAAACTTCCTGTACAATCTAATGCTGGCACGCTCCAAAAAGCAATTCTACTCTTTTGCCCTCCAAATTTTCCATTCCTTCAACTCCTAATAAAGTACAATTAATATTGCCTTAATTCTCACAAAAGTATTTGCCTTTATTTTATTTTGTATTTTCGGGAAGGGTCCACAGGGTGTTCAGGATCTTACTACTAGATCAGAATCATAGTGATCCACCTGTTTACAGTCTCCCAAGAGCTGGAATTACAGGTGTGCGCCACCACGCCCAGTCTCAGTTGCCTTGTCAGTACACCCGGGGGGGGGGGGGGCAGCAGGACGGGACTGGCAAGGCAGGCCGGGTGATCGAGCCCCAGGCTCTGTGCCTGCTTGCAGGTGCTTTAATCTGCTGATTTAATCTGCTGAGCAATATATTTGGCCAGCCCTTATATTTGCTTTTTTAAAAGAGACTATTCTGTAATTAATTTTGGACTGGAGGAATTTCGTTTGTTTGGGGGGGGGTTAGTATATTTTGTTGTTACAGGGTCTCATTACACAGCTCAGACTGCCCAGTGCTGGGATTTATAGGCAGGCACCACCACACCGACTATGGATGGCTCAGCCTGCCTGGACATGGGCTGGCAAGGCATGTGGTGCCGGAGATGGAACCGTGGTCCAGCCACTTGCCTAAATTGGCCTAAGCAGGCGCGGTAGTCCACTGAGCTATCTCACGGGCCCATGCAGGAAATAATTTCGGATTGGTAGAATTCCAGTCAGTGAAACACAGTGAACTGGAAAAAAAGAAAATAATCCAGATAAGACATGGAATCCTCTGCAGTAGCTAGGTAAGGTGACCAGTCATGCCCTCGACTCCTATCATTAAGGTAAGTTTTCTTGGATCATTTCTGAATCTTCTCTGCTGCTTATCAACCCAAAGTCTCTAACAAGTATTTGAGTCACCTACACTGGAAGTCTGTGGGCCTTTCTGTTAAGATATTAATTCCTAAGACCAATCCCAAGATTCCACACAGCTCGCCCTATTAAGTCTAAACACACTAGGATTTTTGAGAATTAGGCTCTGAACAGCTCCACATGTACTGGGGTTGCAGGTATGGGTGTCGTGTTTTCCTTACTACGGTCCTCGCAGGAGCAGCAGGGCTATACGGAAGACTGGTCACCTGAAGGAGCCAGTGGTGAGACAAACATTGTTTATAGCCTAATATGCTTTACTTATCATTTATTTTTTTTTTGTAGGGTTTCACTACGCAGCTTGGACTCATTGTGATTCTGATTTCTGCCTCTCTAGTGCTGGGACTATAGGTGTGCGCCACACACCCGGACTCCATCACCAGCTCAGCACATCCAGGGGCAGGGCTGGCAGGCATGTGGTGCCAGGGATCGAACCCTGGCCCCTGCACTTACCCAAGCAAGCACATAGTCCGTTGAGCTATACTGCCAGCCCTCTAACATGCTTTAAAAAGAGATCATTCATGGCTGGGCATGATGGTGTACAACTGTAAGTCCAGTACTGAAGAAGCTGAGGCACAAGGATCACTGCAAGTTTAAGACCAGCCTGGGCTACAAAGTGAGATCAAGGCCAGCCTGAACTACATAGTGAGACCCTGTCTCAAAAGAAAAATAAGAAAGAGAGAAGAGAGAAGAGTAGAGGAGAAATGGGAGAGGGGTGAGGGAAGAGGGGAGAAAGACAGAGAATTCTTTTAATTTTATAGTTCTTTCATATGCTAGTGAGCATTACCACATTTTACCTAAATATGCAAACTAAAACCTGTAATGTACCATTTGCAAAAAAATAAGTAAATTCTAAAATTTTAAAGATTACAACCAAAATCTCTCCTCTTTAGTTCTTTTTAACGGATTACTTTTGCAGCTCAAAAGAATCCATAGGGTTACAGTTACACTGTTTTAATAGTGTCTTAACTGTAAGAAATCACTAAAATCAAAATTGCCAAATGACAAAGAAAAACCTAAAAAAACCCAACCACACCCACTTACTTGCAAAGACATCGACCCGTTGTCCTTAGTTTTACTTAGGAAGCTAGAGATGGATAAATTCAAGTCAATGCTGCTATTATCAGCAGTGGAACCAGTTCCTGAATCAGTATCATTTTCCTTCTGATTCTCAGATTCTGGCAGCAGTACGGTTTCAGTTTTTGATAAAGCACCTGCTTCTCCTTTATTCTCTGCATCTTCAGAGTTGATGCTAATACTGGGAACGGGAACAGGCTGAGGCTCACTGAGCTGTGAAGCTGGAGGAACGTGGGGCTCCGCGGCCCTTGGCACGTCCTGTGGGGCTTCTTCCTTCTCTGCATCCGTGGGAGGAACAGCTCCGTGAGCACCCCGAGTGTCACCCCCGACAGCCTCCTCGCCGGTGCCCGTCGCTGCACTTCTCACCTCTGTTGCTTCAGTGCCGCTTGACTCGGTGGCTTCCTCAACTGCATTTGTCTCTGGTTTCCCACTGGTGTCTAACAAGTGCTCTGAATTGATGGGCAACTGTTTCTCATGTTTATTTTCCACAAATTTGTGATCTACACCGTTAGTCTCTGTGATTTCTGTAACAGGAGAAACATCTTCTGTGCCACTAGCTGTAGGACCCTCCGGGGCCTTCCTTACGAATTTCTGCGCTCCTTCACCCGCTTCCTTCACATCCTCACTCTGTTCGCCCTCAGTGCTGCTTTCAACTGTCTTCTGAGCAACATCTATTTCTTGACTTTTTCCCACCACATCATTTGCATCATTGATCACATTTTCCTCTGTTTTGCCATCTTTTCCCAGTTTCTCATGTGTGTCTTCCTTTGCATGTACAACTTCACTGTCAATTACATGAATATCTACCTCTTTTTCTCCAGTCTCTTGAGATACTAAATCAATTGTATGAGTAGTGGTATCCTTACTATCTTCGGATTTTACAAGTTTATTTTCAAGCAGTGGTTGCTTTTCCTGATCCCTCTCTTCCTCAGGTTTCAAATTATGTTTAATATTTGTTTCTAAAGTGATCCCATTACTCTCTTTTCCTTCACTGACTGAACTCATAGCTAGCATTTCTTGGTCTTCTGCGTCAGGCAGACCATCAAGCTTGGGTCTCTTCTCCCTTCTGCCATCCTCCCGGGGTTCTGCCGCTCTGTCAGGGCCCTCGGTCACATCCCCTGCCTGTGTGTCCCTCACATGTTCCTCAATACCCTCCACGGTTTTTTCTGGCTCATCAGTGCAAGGTTTTTCGTTAACAACTTTGCTACTTGAGTTATCCTCAGAAGCACTGTGTTCTGTTTTTTCTGAGACAGACTCCAAAATACAAGCATTCTGCGAAAGTTTATCTTCCTCAGAGCTGGCAATACTGAGGTCAGAGGAGGCACGCTTATTTGTAGGTATCGGCTAAAAGAGATAGTACATATTTTTAGTTTTAAAACATGACCTCAAGATAATGACCAAGACAATGTTTATACATATAACAATGATCTGATACCTGCATTCAGTAAAAGCTGAAGTTATACAAATAATAATTTTTCAGTAATAAACGTAAATAATAATTTCAACCAAACATGATAAAAATGGGTAGCAAGGAGTACACTTACTCTAAAATTAAAGGTTTTCTGAAAACTGTTTTTCAGATTAACCCTTAAGATATAGCTGCAATCATATCTCAAAACTCTCCTCTTAAAAACTCACTAAAGGAAATTTCCTTTCAAAATACTGACCAGAGAATTTTCTATTTCCTCATCATCATCTTCCTCTTTGCCATCTTCAACTTCTTCTGTTACCTCAGCCTTTGCCTCTGCAATCAGTTCTCGAATTGGTTTATTGGAATCAATAGTCACAAAGGGATGCTGTTGATCATTAAAAAGAGAACGCTCAGTAACAACTACAACACCTTATAAAGTCAGTGTCCAACACATATGAAACACATTCTAAAGCACTAAATAAAAATGCAATCTACATGTAGAAAAAACACAAATAACTTCAGAAGACGTTATATCTGGAAAGGATGAGGGAGAAGAGACTGAGAAAAAGTCGTGACTGCCAGCAACTAGATCTGTGCTTTTTTCCCCTAAGAATCTGAAGAAAATTTGTCAAAAAGCTGACATACATGCATTTTTCATTTTGTCTGAAAATTTCATAATAAAAAATTAAAGTTTAAAACAAATTAGTGTCATTGGTTCTTAAAAAGTAACAATTATCTACATAAATCATATCAAAATCTCAATTTTTACAAAATGGTAAGAACCTTTAGAATTATGAGAAGTAGCTACAAATATCTGTTGTTTTTAAGATGGCTCTCGCACTGCTGAAGAAGATGCTTCATCTGCTGGTGAGGGAGATGCTCACTCAGTGCACTGCACTGTCTGCCACAGATCCGGGCCTTCCAGGGAGACATTAACCCCACGCGGCCTGCTGCTATTACACCGCCCTGCCTTACCTGTAGTAGCTGAGATGTAGTCCACCTGGCATCCACATTCTTTTCTAAGCATTTCTTCAGAAAGTCCTTAAAATTTGAAGACCTTCAAAATAAATTTTGACAACGATATTCAAATAAAATTCCTTGATAAGTCAAGCTTAAGTTTCATTCTGTAGGAACAGTACTGACATTAGAAAACTAGCTAATAAAATTTTATAAAACCTTTTCTTCTGAATATATACAATAGAAATAAATCTAAACAGGAACACAGTCAGTGAGACATAGCCATATATTCACAAATATATCAAAAATTCTAGTGTACTAAATTCCACAACTATAAACCAACCACATATATGCCTCACCTTCTCGCAGTGCAGCAAATATCTTTTTCATGTAGAGCTCATTTAAATTTTCAAATACATGAAAAATTATTTGTAATTGTTTTTATAGTCCTTTAATCTTTGTGTGTGCGTGTGTGCGTGTGTGTGCGCGCACGCGTGTGCTACACACGTGTGCCAGGAATCAACTGAACTCAAGACCTTGACTTGCCAGGCAGGCACTGTGCTAAGCTATATTCCTCACCCTAGTCCTTAAATCTTAAAAACATATCCAAAATCTATTTTGTAATTCACATGGTATTTATCCCATATACCCAAATTAAATACCCTTGGAAAACTAAAAGAAACAAGTTTTGCTTCTTAAAAATCTTGGTTTAGGGGCTGGGGAGATAGCTCAGCAGTCTAAGCGCCTCCTGGGCAAGCACAAGGACCAAGGTCTGATCCCTGGTATCACATGCTGTGCTGGCCCCAGCCCGGGGCCAATGGGCCGGCCACCAGGATAGGGCATGACAGCACACACCTGGAATCCCAGCAGGAGGGATTACAGAGGCTACAACGGGAGGATCACAATTATGAGTCTGAGTTACATAGTGAGATCCTTTACCAAATACATAAATTTAAAAAACAATCTTGGTTTAGAATAGCGTACCATCTTGACGGCTGTGCTAATGTAGGGGGTTCGGATTTTGCTATTTTTAGCAGCACTCGCATTGGATTTAACTCGTGATGAGGTGGTTCTATCTCAGCCATTTCTATTAAAGTGATGCCCAGGGACCAAACATCAGCTTTGTAGTCATATGGTCTGTCCTTTGATGTCTCACACATGACCACTTCTGGAGCCATCCTAGGAAGACAGAGAATTTGAAATTAAGATGCTTAAATTAAACACAGTCGTTGAAACCACAGGACAGTATAATAAACTATAGAGACAGCTAGGAGTGGTGGTGCATGCCCGTAATTTCAACACTTAGAGGAGTTTGAGGCAGGAGGATTGTCATTGAGTTTGAAGCCAGCCTGGACTATTGTGAGTTCGAGGCCAGCCTGAACTGCACGGTAAGATCTGTCTCAAAAAAAACAAAAATAAAAACAAAACTCATGTGGACAAAATTAACCAGAGATAACAACTGCTAGCCATGTATAGCGGTGAACATCTATAATCTGAGCACTTTGAGAGATGGAGGTGGAAGATCACAAGTTCAAGCCCAGCTGAGGCAACTTAGCAAGATCTTTCTCAAAATACAAAATAAAGGGCTGGGGATATAGCTCAGTGAGAAAGTTCTGAATTTTGGATTTTTGCCCAGCAGTACAGCACGAAAAAACTGCTGACATGACTAAAATTGTAAGTTCATATAGGCAAAAGTTCATACCTACCAATATGGTGTGCCAATAAAGGAATCCCTCCTTTGAATTGTCCTTGTGTTTTTAGCTGACACTCCAAAATCGGCTTGAAATAAATATACAACAGCATTAATAACTTTTAAACATAATTAACTAAACTCAACAGGGAAGTGGAAGGGAGCATTTCAAATCTTCAATAAATACACTCTTATTAAAGACTAAGCAAAATAAATTTTCTACATTCTAATCTTGACCACTGTCTTACCACCCTCCAAAAACACTATCAAAGTTTCCATAATTAATAAGTTTAATGTCACCACCTTCATATAGCTTCAAATGTAGTCTTCAGAATTGAAAACAGAAATTTTAAAATAACTTACATACTTAAAAAAAAACTAGTTAGTGCTACATATTGTAATTAAATTTCTAGACATCTTTTTTATAGTGTGAAAAACAGAAATTACATTCAAGCAGCCTTTATGACAGCAGCCTTACCAACTTCCTCATAAAAAGGAACATTAGGAACTTTGTTTTCTTATTTAAGCTATAATAAAGAACAGCAAAGTCATAGCTTTATCAGTTATCAATCCCACCTTTTCAGTTTAGAGCTCATAACTATCATAGAACTAACTTATTATCTTAACTGCTAAATAGAATAAAGCATTTCCCTATCTTTCCTGTATGAACTGTAACCCTAGATAACTAGTTAATGTATAATAAATGAAAATTTAAAAAAAATTTTAAGAGAAAATAACAAATTAGTGATCTAATTATCAAAATAATAAATGAAAACAGCATAGAATTCATCCCTTTGGGTTATAGCTGGACTTGCTTGTAATGCCTGAAATAAAAGGAAGGTAAGAAGTGGACAGTGTGTGCCTCTTGATGAACACGAACGCCACTGCACGCTGCCTAAGGGTTAGACTTGAGGTTCCCCAAACCTTTGGATTCATCTGCCAATGTGAAAGAAGCAAAGAGGAACTCACTGAATTACTACAAGAACACGAAATGAAGAGAGAGAAAAAGGCTTCAGGCCAGACAGCCTGTGATCAGTGGTGGTGAACCCGTAACACGCTTGGCTTTGGGTATTTGTTGTTTTAAGACAAAAGATGTTAATACATGAGGGCTGTTTTTGGTTTTTTGTTTTTTTGAGACAAGGTCTTGCTGTGTATCTCAGGCTGGCCTTGAACTCACTATGTAGCCCAGGCAATCCTCCTGCCATAGCCAGACAAGTGCTGGGATTACAGATGTGCGCTACATGCCCATCTGAGTTTTTTCTAAACTAAAACCTCAATATTCAGAATTAACTGCTCATCTCTAAAAAGTTCACCATCACTGGCCTAGGTATGTGAATCAATGTTTTTCACTTTTTTTTTTTTTTTTTGGAACCAGGGGATTGAACTCAGGCTCATGCACTTACCAGGGAAGCATTTATTCCACTGAGCCATCTCCCCAGCCCGTTTTCCACCTTTCTATCAATACCCTCCTTTAGGAGTATTGAAGACAATTTTTCCTTATTCCCCCTGCACTCACCAAATTTTAATACCACATATATACTGTATCTACACCACAGGACTTTGAAGTAGAGGTCACAAACCACTGTAATATGCTTGTTTGTTTGTTCGGCCCCCAAAGAATCACGCATTGTTCCCTTGCACTGGGGAGATAGCTGCGTGGTCTAAACCCCTGCCTGGCAAGTATAAGGGCCCAGGTTCGATATCCAGTTCCACATGCCATGCCGGTCCCAGAACGCTGGGCACGTTGTGCTGGCCCCGAAACTGGGTGTGTGGCACACACCTGTAATCCCAATGCTGGGGAGGCTACGACAGGAAGATCACTATGAATGCAAGCTGCACAGTGAGACCCTGTATCAATAAATAAAATTTAAAAAGAAAAAAATTTAAAGTATTGCTCCCTTGGAGATATCACCTCCAGAAGAATACATATAAGATGGGGATTGACATGGAACCCATAAATTAAAAAAGATTTAAAAGAAAAACTTATACATGGGCAAGTTTAAACTTTAATATCTAAATACAGGGTGTTGAACACAGGATAAATGAGTCATTAAAAAAAAAAAAAAGAAAGGGGGGGGTGTGGTGGTACACACCTGTAATCCCAGCACTTAGGAGGCTGAGGCAGGAGGATCACTGTGAGTATGAGACCAGCCTGAGAGCTCAAGGATAACCTGAACTACAGAGTAAGACCTTGTCTCAAAAAGACAAACAAAAAGAAAGAAAAGGAAGTTATTATAAAATTCAGAGTGTGGAGAAGGAAAGAACGACATTACGGCTGCTGTCTAGCTCTCCCCGACTCCCCAAGCCTCATGCAGGCATTGGGGCAGGCTTCTACAGTTCGTGACTCATCAGCTTATGAAAGGGAGAGAGGCTCATCAGCTGCCACAGCCGCTGCCCCCCCTTGGCTTTTTGCTGTTTTCTGCCTTCATGAACTGCTGCTCTCTGCCACGTGCCACTCTACCTTGGAGCCAGCCGAGTGTGGACTGAAACCTCCACAAACTGTGAGCTGAATAAACCTTTCCTTCCTTGATTTTGGGTGTCGGGTATTTTGTTCCAGCAAGGAGAGAAGAGTAATTGGGACAGATGGAGACTGAAATGGTCACATGGGAGAACATCCAGGTGTCTGACAATGTTTGATTTCTTGATGTAGTCACTAAACTATATAGTTTTTTTTTTGTGTGTGTGTGTGCGCGCGGTACCGGGGACTGAACTCAGGACCCTGCACTGGCCAGGTAAGCACTTATTCTACTGAGCCATCTCCCCAAGCCCTTGTGTGATTTTAAGTATTTGTGTTTATGTTGCAATTAAAAAGGTTAAAATTTATCACCTCTTTAGATGTCATGATAAAGGAAAATGATTATAATCAATGAATCATTATGGTCTTTGAATATGTTTTGTCTTTTTAATATCCTTCCAAAATATACAAACTCAGACTTCATCACTAGACTTTAAAAATTTCCTATCTTGAGGGCCTGCGAGACAGCTCAGGAGACTGAGAGCCTCTTAGGCAAACGCAGGGACTATGGTTCAAGTCCCAGCACCCCATGCTGCACCAGCCCCACCTCCGGGCACACTGAGCCCGCCACAGACACCAGGCATAGTGGAACACACATATAATTCCAGTGCTGGGGAAGCTGAAAACGGGAGAATCACTACAAGTCCGAGCTGCGTAGTGAAAACCCTGTACCAAATACATAAAAATAAATAAATAAATAAATAAATAAATAAATAAATAAATAAAATTTCCTATCTTAGAAATACTTAAACACGGATATATACATATATCTTCCTTCTGTGTGGGTGGTGCATATGATATTAATTCATCCCTAATCTAAAAGCTATACCTCATTTTTTTCTTATAGAAAGCTAATCATTTATTCCTTTGTTATAAAAAAAATTAAAAAGCTAGTCCTTATACTTATTTAGATATCTTTCTCAAGCCTAAGGATATTTTCTAGTTTAGCCAAAGGTATCGTATCAACAGAGCATAAAACTAAATGCAGAAAAAGACCTGAGAGACACAAATTCTGTAAATGAAGATAAAACTGAAGCCAGGAATGGCAGCACATGCCTCTGAGTCCAGCCCTCTGAAGAACTGAAAGACAGGAGGACTGCAAATTAAAGCTTAGTGTGGATAACCTCAGTGACTTAGTAAAAGTTCATCTCAAAGGGTTGGGGATCTCTGCAGTGAGAAGACCCTGGGTCCAAACCTCAAAAAAAAAAGCAAACCACGAGTAAAACTATATTATATTCTAAAAGCAAAATATTTACAAGGTTTAAGTCTATTCAGAAAATTTTAAGGAAAACATTTTAACCATATTTTTAAAAATTTGCCCTCTTGAAAATAAAAATCCATCCTCTCTTTTTTAAAAAACTGTCTTTAAATTAGAGGCCTATACCTAGGGATTCTGGGAGGTAATGAACATCTAAGGAAATGTTTAAAAAGTTAGTAAAGATTAATTCTCTAGATTTCACACATTTAACTAGTAATAAAATAACATTAAGTCACGGGCTGGGGAGATTGCTCAGTAGAATAAGTGGTTGCCTGGCAAGCACAAGGGCCTGAGTTCAATCCCTGGTTCCAAGGGGGGGGGGGGAAGGTCACATACATACATACAAGGGTAAATCTCAGCACAAATTAAAAAAAAAATTAGATGAACTTACCCAACTTAATGTCTCCATCTAAGGTAAAGAGGATGTTGCCAGCTTTTAGGTCTCTGTGGATGATTTTATTATCATGTAAATAACTCAGTGCCTCCAGAGTCTGCTTGCAAACTACTTGTATTTGAGACTCAGTCAAAGGTCTCTCCAGTTCTATAAGAACAAAGTAAAATGAAAACCTGCATTCTTACACAATGAAAGCATATCAACACATTTTATACATTCCAATATATACCATCACTGTGGTCTTGTCAAAGATTTATTTTAAAACTAAATATCTACAAATAGTTTACGGACATAAAACTCAATGTTTCATTTTAATTTTTGAATTGCATTGTAATTATCCAAGAATACAAAATATAATTAAATTGATTTCTTAATTTATTGACCTTCACTCAACAATTTACTCATATATTAATATATATGCAATATACGTAATACATAATATACATAATGGTTGAAATCCTTAAAGGTTTAAAATACGAACATAAGGAATAAAAAGATATTTACCAAGCATCACAGCATCTACTGCTCCACCTGCACAAAATTCAATGAGGATCTGCATGCAAATAAAAAGCACATGTCTAAAAACTATACTGAGTTTCAGAATTTTTCAATTTAGCAAAAAGAAATAGCTATCAAATAATCTAGGTTATGGCAACAATATTATACTGAACATTAAGAATTTCTTTGTCAAGAGTTACAAGTTTTCAATGATAAACATTTATGAAACAACAAAGAAAATACATGTGGAAGTATGTCGATTTTCACTGAGTTATTTCTAATGTCTTCTAAATTACCAGATATAGGATTTTTAATTAGTACAGTATTATATATCTATTTTGTCACTACTAAAACAATTCACTACTTTCATTTTAAGGTAACTATTATGATTTAGTGATCAAAAATATACACTTTACCAATAATAAATTCTGCTCAGTGTACTGGCACATGCCTATAAAGCAAGCTACACATGAGGCTGAGACAAGAGGATCCAAAGTTTAAGCCCAGCCTAGGTGACTCAAGAGAGACCCTGTCTCAAGTAATAGGGGTTTAACAATATAGCTCAGTGGTAAAGTGTTTGTCTACCATGTGTAAACCTTGGGTTCATGCCTGCATTCTTACACACACACACACACACACACACACACACACAGAGTAAATCCTGAAAATATATAAAGACTTTAGTTTCAAAGAGAACTACAGGGACCCAGCCCAGGCCCAGCATGTGTGTGAGACTTTCCACCATGCTCTCAGGACCCCTCCGGAACCAGCCCAGGCCCAGTGTGTGTGGGAGAGTTTCTGTTCCGCTGTGCCTGCCAGATCCCTCCAGACCTAGCCCAGGCCCGGCATGTGAGTGAGACCTTCCACTGTGCTCTTGGAACCCCTCCAGATCCAGCCCAGCATGTGTTGGGGGGAGAGCTTCTGGTCTGCTGCACCAGCCTGATCCCTCTGGACCCAGCCCAGGCCCCGTGAGACCTTCAGCCATGCTCTTGGGATGCCTCCAGACCCAGCCCAGGCACAGTGTGTGTGGAGGAGAACTTCCTCTCTACTGTGCCAATTGGATCCCTCCAGACCCAGTGCAGGCCCTGCGTTTGTGTGTGGGAGAACTTCCATTCTGCTGTGCCTGCTGGACCCCTCCAGACCCAGCCCAGGACCAGCATGTGAGTGAGACCTTCCGCCTTGCTCTCAGGACCCCTCCAGACCCAGCCCAGGCTCAGCATACAGCTTGGGGTGAAACCCTGCAGCTTAAGTCTCTGTGGAGAGGCTAGGGGCCAGAACCACCTAAGGTTATAACTGCACCAAAGCTCTACACCAAAGGTGAAAGGACAGTGCTAACGTAAATGACAAAGAGAAGGAGCAAAATGCACTCTCAGGTCACAAGCCCACACAGAACAAATGTAAGAAACACTAGCACAGCAGAAATTGGGAAACACATACCTGAAATGTCTGAATATTAATTATTAAACGCTATTAAGCGTTTGGGGTGAAGAAACAACTGACAAAGGTATAGAGGAAATCAGACCAGAAATAATCTCTGAAGTAAAAAAAAGAATAACTATAATGAAAGAATTAATAACTGCTTCTAAAGAAGAAACTGATAAAAAAAATTAGAGAATAGGAAAATGATGGAATACTTCAATGAGCAGTATAGGAAAGGAATAGATCTCATGAAGCAAAGTCAAAGAGATATAGAGGAACTTATATCTCAATCACAAGCTTGCAAAACCATTTGAATGAAAGTCAAGATAGAGAGCTGGGGGGAGAGCTCAGTACAATAAGTGCTTCCCTGGCAAGTGCAGGGTCCTGAGTTCAATCCCCAGTACCGCAAAAAATAAAAAAGAAAGTGAAGATAGAGTTTGAGATCTTGAAGACAAGACACCATGGCAGCTAGTGAAAAAGTAAGAAAAGATTCCTTAAAAACAATTAGGACGGGACGGGGAGAAGGCTCAGAGGAATAAGCACTTCCCTGGCAAGTGCAAGGGCCTGAGTTCAATTCCTGGTTCTGCCAAAAAAAAAAAAAAAAAAAACAAAAAACAATCAGGATGCAGGAAAAAAAAAAAAAATCCAACATTGGCAAGATGATGCAAAGATGAATAACATAAGATTAATAGGCATCAATGAGAAAGAAGAATTCCATACAAATGATATAAAAAGAATATAGGCAGAAATAATAGCAGAAAACTTCCCAAATATGGGAAAGAATCTGACATTCAGGTGACCAAAGCATATAGAACTCCAAATGACATCAACACAATTAAAAAAACACCCAGACATATGTCATACGCTTTTTTTGTTGTTGTTTTTTGGTGGAACCGGGGATTGAACTCAGACCCTTGCGCTTGCCAGGCAAGCACTTTTTCTACTGAGCTATATCCCCAGCCCCACACCCAGACATATAATAGTCAAGATCCCAGAAATCCAGCACAAGAACAATATACTAAAAGCTGCTAGAGAAAAGAAACAGATCACAATTAAAGATCAGAATAACGGCAGACTTCTCTCCATAAACCATCAAGTCAAGAAGAGCATGAAGGGGGCCTGCCCCATAGCTCAGTTCTTTAAGTGGCTGCTTCAACAAAGCAGTCAGGTTCAGGTTGCCGTGGTTCGATCCCCACTACTCAAGCCAGCCAAATCTGCCCTGAAGGCATTTGGAGAAAAAAAAAAAAAAAAAAAAATGAAGAGCATGAAACAGAGTACTTCAAGTCCTCTATGAAAAACAAATTCCAGCCCAGACTACTATACTCTGCAAAATTCTTTCAAGTTTGATGGAGAAGTGAAATACTTCCATGACAAAGAACAACTAAAGAATTCCATGATGACAAAGCCAACCCTACACAGACTACGAAAAGATATTCTAGAAAGGGAACAAAATAACCAAAGCTCCATGAATGAGAACAGAAACAACCCAGCAAATAGGGCAAACAATTAAAACACAGTAGAAAAAGAAGTAAACAACAGCAGGTAAATAACAAGTCAATACTTCTCAATTATAACCATCAATGTAAATGGACTCAATTCACCAATTAAAAGAAATAGACTGGTACAGTAGATTAGGAAGCAAAATCCAACAATATGCTATATTCAAGAAACACACTTAACTCATAAAGAAATTCACAGGCTGAAACTCAAAGGATGAAAAACAATACTACACACCCCAGCCCCTCAGACAAAAGCAGGAGTAGCAATCCTGTTCACAGAGAGACTAAACTTCAAACCAAGAATGATAGAACGAAATAAAGAAGGCAACTATATACTGGTTAGTGGAAAAATTCAAGAGGAAGAGGTAACACTCATAAATATGTATGCACCAAACACGGGAGCACCCAACTATATAAGACAAATCTTAATGGACATGAAAAATCTAATATCCAATACCATAATCTTAACAGGAGACGTTAACACCCCATTGACCCAAAAGATAGATCAAGCAGACAAAAAATTAGCAAAGTGGTAGCAGAACTGAACCAGAACTTGAAACAAATGGACTCAATAGATATATACAGTGTTCCACCCAACCACAGCTGAATACTTTTTTTTAGCTGCATATAGGACATTTTCTAAAATAGACCACACACAAGTTGAAAGGTCACGTTTAAGTATATGCAAGAAAACAGAAATTATCCCATGCATATTATCTGACCACAGTGCAATGAAATTGGAAATAAATGACAAAAAAAACATAAATACAAGGAAATTAAACAACACCCTCTTCAGCAACCAATGGGTCACAGATGAAATTGAACAAATTAAACAATATCTACAATTCAATGAAAATTCAAGCATAACTCATAAGAAGTGCAAAGCAATGAAAGCAGTTCTTAGAGGAAAATTTATAGCTGTGAACTCACATAATAGGAAAACAGAGTGGGAATAAATAAATACCTAGTGCTACACCTCAAATGTCTAGAAAAGGAAGAACAAACAAAACCCAAAGTACAGAGATGGGAGAAAATTATAAAGATTAGAGTACAAATTAATGCAACTGAGACAAAACAATTCAAAGAATTAACAAATCAAAAAGCTGGTTCTTTGAAAGATTAAATAAAATTGATAAGTCCCTAGCTAACCTCATCAGGGGCCTGCCCATTAGCTCAGGTGTTTAAGTGCCTGCTGAAACAAAGCAGTCAGGCTCAGGATGCTGTGGTCTGATCCCCAGATACTCATGCCAAACCAGACCTGCCCTGAAGGCATTCGGTGGCCACCAAAAAGAAAAGAAAAAAATTCCTCCTAACTAAACTCATCAAAAAGAGGAAAAAACTCAAATATAAGCAATAAGGAAGAAAAAGGGTGAAATTATCACAAACCCAGTGGAAATTCAGAAGATCATCAATAGCTACTTTGACAATCTTTACTCTCACAGAATCAAAAACACAGAAGAAATGGACAGATTCCTACAAAGGTACAAATCACCAGAACTGAATCAAGAAGATATGAGAACTCTCAATAACCCAGTAACAGCAAGTGAAATACAAAATGCAATAAGGAACCTAACGACAAAGAAAAAAATCCAGGTCCTGATGGATTCACAGCTGAATTCTACAAGACATTTACAGAAGATATAATCCCAATATTCCTCAAACTCTTCAATGAAATTGAAAAGAAAACACCCAAAATCATTCTTGGAGGCAAGTATACTGATAACAAAATCAGGGAAAGACGCAAGTAAAAAACAGAACTACAGGCCAATCTCCCTCATTAACATAGATGCAGAAATCCTCAATAAAATCCTAGCAAATAGAACACAGCAAATCATAAAAAGATGATACTCCATGACCAAGTAGGATTCATCTCAGGGATACAAGGATGGTTCAATATATGCAAATCTATAACTGTAATACACTATATCAATAGAGTTAAATCCAAAAACCACACAATCATCTCAACTGATGCAGAAAAGGCTTTTGAGAAAGTCTAACACTCCTGCATGTTCAAATTCCTACAGAAAGTTGGAATGGATGGCCTCTACATCAAGCTGATGAAAGCCATCTATGACAACTCAATGGCTAACATAATTCTAAAATGGAAAAAACTATGGCTCAGCTGATTAAAGCACCT